ATGAAGGAGATCATCACATCCTCAGAAATGGCCCATCAACATTCATTGCATGTCAACAAGCTAAAGCTACATAGCTAACAGTAATGTTTTGATGCCAGATTGTTAGCCGCCGAAACGGGACGGAATCATCTAGCATAACAGTTGAGATAGTTCTCATCTTACTTGTCATGGAGTCGACACCTTGTGCTTAATGTTCGACGCGTGTGGTGGTTATTAAGTAGTTCTCGTGCCTCGTTTCCCACTGCCATTAACAATACAACGATGAAATTGGTGAAACTTGACTATTCAAAACGTAACGAAAAGCTTTATTTCCGGCCACTATTTTCAATATAATTAAAAGAAAATGTAACACTATTATATGATAATATGAGTAGAATGGAACACAGCTAATTTTTAAACAACATTTACATATTAAGTTTTAATTAACAACAGACAGAACGTCTCTTTATTTTCCATACTTGCAGCTAAATGACACTCATATTTTACTTTGAAAGTAAATTGTTCCGATCACCCGTGCCCTTCCACAGCACCAGCTCAACACAAATTAGATGACCCACTCGTTTTGGTTATATTTGGGACATTTTTTTTAAACGGGAAGTAATTGGAAGCAGTTCTGATGGGCATTACCACAAATGTTATTTCTGTGGAAAACAGAGTAAATGGGAAAAGTGGATAAAAATGTTCGCTCTTCCACTGCAGTCAGATCATTACCTAAACAATAGACAAACCTTCTCTGACCGTTATCCCGCTTGTTATACAGATCCCAATATATGTTTATTGTTGTTTTATTTTGCGGGGGGGGATCCTCTTGCATTAAAATAAGATTTTGTTTGATACGTTATTTGTTTCCATCCTCTGGGATTGGATCCTGGAGGATGGACACAAATAACGAATTTTGTTGTTTGCACTGTAACAGAAAGCCCTAATCTACAAACCTTGAGTGAGTTTATTGTTTGGATATTTTAGTGTGAATAATTTTCTTTGCTCTGAACAGAGCTCCTTTGTGCAACTAAATGAATAAGGCATTATTGCTCACCCGCTAAACATGTTTACTCCTTTAGGCTGAGCTGTACTAGCCATTTAGAATACAGTGTATTATCTATCCATCCATTATCTGCACTGGTCAGTGTGGAGCTCCCAACTGATGTACTGTAGTGGATGGATCATTAATTAGTTGCAGGGGTGACACGCTGAGACAAACAATAACGTGTACATTTACACCAATTTACATATTATTTCATCAACAACAGGAAATACATGCCCCACTGAATTTCTTTTGAAAATCAGTTTGACTGATGAGTACCGAGTACTCGTAGTATTCGATTTATTGGCACTTGTTAGTGAGCTGTCGGGAGTATATTATCGCAAAAATCATCAACTGTGTTGGGAGCAACAGACCTCCACTTACCCTTACAAACATTTAGATTTTATTGGACTAAATACTACTTGATGTGGGTGGAACAGTGGGCGACTGGATAGCACATCCGCCTCACAGTGCAGAGGTCGTGGGTTTAATTCCGGCCTCGGCCTTCCTGTGTAGATTGCATGTTCTCCCTGTGCCTGCGTGGGTTTTCTCCGGGTACTACGGTGTCCTCCCACATTCCAAAAACATGCAGAACAGGTTAATGGAACACTCAAAATTGTCCCTAAGTGTGATTGTGAGCGTGAATGGTTGTTCATCTATGTGTGCCCAGCGATTGGCTGATAACCAGTTCAGGGTGTACCCGGCCTACTGCCCGAAGACAGCTGGGAGAGGCTCCAGCACACCCTGTGACCTGCGGAATTTAGTGTTTTTGATAGTCCAAGTACCGTATCTTGTTTGTTTTGTTCTTTTGGAAATTTTGTTTTTGAGTACATCCTGCCTTCATGCATTTGGGTCATCAACCCTTGTGCTCCAAATTGTCACAGTAAGTGCTTCAAGCCATTGCTATATCAATTACAGTAAAATTATTATTTGCGCATTTTGCTATCATTTTGAATTAATACAATTAAATCCTAAAGACATATTGTTATTTGAGCAAAACTTCAACTAATCCTTTTTTTTCTCTGAAAAAAAATACCCTTTGACCTCCGCTGGAAATTCCCTTCCTTTCAATGCAGCTATTGACACCCAGCACAGCAACACCAGTTGATCATGGGTTCAGTTGAAATCATTTCACTTCGCTACTCTTGTGTTATACATCAGTGGTGTCGCTATCTGATGAAAGGAGAGAGATATTGTTGCATTGCATTGAGAAAAATATATGTTGAGAACACTTTTGTGAAAAAGTCTTAGTGCAGACAAGTAGTAAAAGCACGTCTAATAACAGCCATCTGCATCTACTTGAGGCAACTGAAAAGTTAATGCATTGTCAAAACCAAAGAATAATGCCTCATGAGCAGGACTACATAGTTGCATTTTTTTTTTTAGTTCGACTACTATTCCGTAACTAATGAATTGTCCTCCTGTTGATGGGTGAGGGTTTTCAATCCTGTTCAGGAGTCGGGACACAAAGTGCACATGGCCTGCAAAGACAGAGCACACAAACAAGCAGCAGGTTGCATACAATAGACAATTAAATTGAACGTGCTAGAAATGTGCGCAAGAAATGTGTTTGAACATTGTCAGAGAGTGATTATATTTTTAGGAGGTCCAGACATTATACAGGTCTCCTTTTTGCAGGCAGCAACACAGGCTGCAATTGAGGACTATGCAGAGCTGTATTACAAAGCTGTTGCTTTGAAAATGGGAATACACAAAACACACAGAGCACATGACAGAAGTGGAAGTGCTTCTTGAAAGAGTGATTGTATGTTGAGTTGAAAGAGGCGACTTATTTTGGTTAAAAGGACGGTTGTAGTTAAAACTAAATCAAGCCTTTCTTGACATGCTGCGAGCAACAGGAATCAAAGAAGAGTCTGTTGATGCAGAATTCAGTGTGTGATTACCTGCTGCCCTTAGATTTTGGCACGAGGCAGTGACGTGATTTCCAATTTTCAGACGATAATAATGGCAAGCAATGGCAGCTGGGGTTCATTTTGCAAATACGTGCTTGCACAACTGTAAAAATATTTGAAAAAGTGAAATCGCAAAAGCCGGCAAGCGACATTTAGACAAAACACAGCCATCCCGACTAGCAGACTGCCTGTCAAGGCATTGTTTAATGTTGCATATCCTAACCATGCAAAAGCAAACTATTCATCGTTTGCTGAAACTTTTTTTTTTTTTTTTGTGGTTTTACTAGTGCCAATGCGCATCATGCCATACCATCATCTCCACTAAAGCTGATCACAAACCTAAACGTATTTTTGTCATTTTGAACTTATCATTCGTCTTGTTCGTCTTCAAACATGTCTACGTTTCTTTTTTCTGGTTAACTTGATTCAAAGGTAATGTTTGAAAGTGCCAATGTGTTCGTTTTTTTTTCTTGTCGATTTTATGTTCCACCAACAATGTGCAAAACAATATTTTGAATGAAAATGATGACGGTACCTTGAACATGAAACCAGAAACCAAAAAAATAAATAATTTTACTCACATGAGTTGTTTGCTTTTGTGTTAAACTTTTCAGACAATAGAAGGAAATGCACACAGGGAAATTTTTATGAGGGGGGTCTTTATTTGAGACAACGTGACAACAGCTAATTACTTTTACACAAGACTACTTAACATCAATATAAAGTCTAGGTACAAGTTTGGCTTGGCCTCTGGAATTTACCTTGACACTGTATAATAACCACAGCATTTACACCCTTAGTAGTGTCGTGTTGACATTATAGTAACCCGAAATAAATTAATTGACTTAGAATACTCTGAGAAAATCACTGAAAATGTCCCAGGCCAATTCTTGATGCAACACACACAGGTAAAATTACGGGCGGATGGCGGGGTACACCCTGAACTGGTTGCAAGCCAGTCACAGGGCACTTATAGACAAGAAACGATTCACACCCCCAATCACACCGATGGACAATTTAGAGTGTTCAATTAACGGAGCATGCACGTTTTGGGAATGTGGGAGAAAACCCACGCAGGCACGGGGAGAACATGTGAAGTCCACACAGGAAGGCCGGAGCCCAGATTCGAACCCTAGACCTCTGTACTGTGGGCAGATATGCTAACCAGTCGATCACCGCGCTGCCCATACAATAAAGCAAAAATTGAATGCATTCAATAAACGTCTGCCAGGCTTGACAGTATAGTATTATTTTCCAACATAACTGGACTTAAAGGCCAACTGTGAAGCAATTTCAGAAAATGAAATTTTTTTTTTTTATGTCACCAGTAAAGTAATTAGACAAAACACATTAAATACAGCACGAAAACAAAATTCTCAGGAAAAAAAGTAATCATTTTCCCCAGACTAAAACCCTGGTGAGCGACAAATCCGTGTGTGATGTCACTTTAAAACAATAATAGCGGTGTACAAAGTCAGTCAGAAATTGATTTGGAAAGTTTTATAATTATCTGAGGGGATCCAGGTGTTTGAAGAGTTGGAGGAATGGGAGGTTGTTGGCAATATTTATGTTGGACCATACGTGTATGAACCAGATGCTCAGGATTTGGAAAATGTTGTGCCCAAACGCCTGGACATGGAGTGGAGACACGATCCATTGCGATTGGAAGAATGGTAAGCTATAAGCTACGGTTATTAGACAAGCATTTTTGTTTGCAATTCATAGTAGGTTGGTGTCCTACATTGTCATTGCTGAGGTACCGGCAGTTCTGTTGCGTTGTTGGCCACGCCACACAATATATCGTCAGCCTTCTGCAGCATTGTTAGTTGCAAACATTACAGATTAAGATTAAGATATCCTTTATTTGTCCCACACTGGGAAATTTACAGTCTACAGCAGCAAAATTGGGGGGTAGAAAGAAGAAAAAACAATGTGTTTGCATGCACAAAAATAAATGTTTCAGAAGAGAGCTGTACACAGTTCAATATAAGTGCAATATAAATATAGATATAGATATATATGATGATTCCATCCATGCACTCATATTTTGAATGTTTTCATATAGGATTTCATCCATTTACACATATTTTGAATCGAATATTTTTTACGTAAACAACAGCCAGTTTTTGATTGATTTGACTAGAAAAGATTAAATACAGAATAAGTTCAGTGTTTATGCAGCAATATTTTGACTTAAAAGTCAATAGTTTACTTTTGGAGTGTAAGTGCTTATAAGATACGTGTCTGCGTCGGAAACACATGCGAGATCAGCTTTTCCCATTCTGAACTGAACTGTACCAGTCATTGGAATGGCGGCTGTGTCTCTCTTCCTTCTTCCACGATAAGCATCAAACACCGAAGACCCAGCTGCACAGGAGCAGCTCCTGAAGAGTTTTGCGCAACTCTTGGCTCCTGTAGGCATAGATGAGCGGGTCTATAAGAGAGTTACATATGATCAGGATGAGAAAGAGGTTAAAGTTCCGGAAAAAGCAGTTGCAGAAGTGGCTGGTAGGGCAGATAAGGATGAGAATGAGGTGCAGGAAGAAGGGTCCCCAGCACACGATGAATACACCGAGCAGGATGGTGAGCGTGATGGCGCCCTTCATGCTGGTGGACGGGCGACGCTTCTTGCGGAAGTTGACGGTGATGCTGCGCGAGTGGATGTGCGCCAACAGGAACATGTGTAGGTAGAGCACAGCGTTGAAGACCAGGCTGGAGCAGAAGAAGGTCACCAGGCACACGATGACGGCATTGTCCGTGTGGTAGACGATGAAGAAGATGCTGGAGGTGATGCTGGCCAGCCACACGGCCGCGATGATGCCCACGGCGCGCTGCGTCGTCATGATGCTGTGATAGCGCAACGCGTAAAAGATGGTTATGTAGCGGTCCGCCGCGATGGTGCTCAGGAAGGACAGCGACGACACCACCGAGCTGCAGATCATCACATCGATCACATTGTCCAGGTGGCGCAGCATGCCCGGTTGCACGTCCAGAAGGCCGTGGTCGTGCAGAAGCATGACGATGGTCTCCACCACGTTGCTGACGCTCACCAGCATGTCTGATACGGCCAGACAGCAGATGAAGTAGTACATGGGTGAGTGGAGATTTCGGTTCTTGATGATAGCCACCATAACGAGGATGTTCTCCACCAGGCTGATAAGGCCCAGAGACAGGAAGAGCTCCTGCGGGATCCACAGCTGGAAGCAGCCGATCGAGTTGGGTTCCGCGCCAATTGAGTTGGTCTCATTGTCTTGCGGGTAGTCACCCAGGTAGTCGTGGTGCATGAAGATGTTGTTCTGGGAATTGTTGAAAAAGTCCATTGCTCCTGAAATGGAAAATAGGCTGCATTAGAGTCAATTGCTCTTATTGGCTGAGCGGTGCAAAATATCATGGTCTATACAAGTCACAATTCTGTGTTTGGCCGATGACACTAACAAAACACTTAATATTGAGGCACTTACTCGCTCATGCACGCATGCATTGTGAATCAAATTAAAACGGAAACGTGTTACGCTCCCCTTCATCCGGTGATTAGCGTTGCTCTTAAACATAGGTGGCCTTCTCGAGGTGGACCGGGCTCATTTTTCCACTCGCCCTCTTCTTCTTCTCTCCCGTTTGACTTAAAACATTTCTCTTGGTACTGTTTACTCTGTCTTTCTGCTCTCACTCAACAGAAAATGACGCCTAAGGAAAGATTTTCTTTATCCATGAGGTGCCGTCACATCCTATTGACCTATAAAGCGACATAGAGAAGAATTTGTCTAATATTATAAAAGCTCTCTCTTTGGATTTGTGCTGAACCAAACCCCTCTCCCCTCCCACCACCACCACCATTGTCTCTAACCACCAGCAAACACACTACTTTCCCAAATTGGAGCTGATGTCATCAAATTGATTCCAGATACCCTCTCAGTGATGTCCAAATATAAAACAAGCATTTATAACACCATCAATTGAAGGAGATAACTCATTTATTGAGGATCCCCCCGTGTGTCTTTCTGATGTTCTGATGGTGATTCTGTTTGATTTTACATTTAGAGTCAAATTTACCACAAACATACATGTTACACCCTTGAAACTGCTGGGTAAAAAAACAAACAAACAAACAAACAGATTTTGGTTTGAAAACTGGACCGACTTCACAAAACAAAACAACAAAAAAACATAATCAAATTGACCCAAGTAACAGGTTTGTCTAATTTTTGACCCCAGTTTTGACCCACCAGTCTTAAAACTGTAGGCGAGAGAAAGTTTTTCATTTTGACCCAAGTAACAGGTTTGTCTAATTTTTGACCCCGGTTTTGACCCAGCAGTTTTAAAACTGTATGGCGAGAGAAAGTTTTTCATTCTAAATGATTTAAATAGCACAAACATGCACTATTGTAACAATACAAATACATGAAAGACTATGAGAAAAAAATGCATCCATCCCTTTTCAACACCGCTTATCCTGAACAGGGTTGCGGGGAGTTGGTGGAGTCTATCCTAGCTGACTTTGGGCGAAAGGTGCACTACCCGCTGAACTGGTCGCCAGTTAGTCACGGTGCACGTATAGAAATAAACAACCATTCACACCCACAATCACACCGTCAATGAGTGGGAACCCACGCTGCCCTGCACACAAGTCAGGCAAGTGTACCACTAGACTATCAGCGACATATAAGAAAAGATCTCATCCTTATTTAGGTTAGTCAATGAGAATTTGCATATTTCTTGATAGTCTTGTAACATGTACTTTGGGGGGGGGCAGCAATAGAAAAAGATCTATTCTCTTTCAGCTAAGTATTCTGTGTGTGTTCTTTTAATGTGTTGTTTAAATCCAGAACAAACAAACATCAAGTACACTTGGGCAACAATTTCATCATAATCACATTCTGGAGGTTCACATTGGCCAAGGATAAGATGTGAGCATATTTGAGTGGAAAAGAAGAGTTCTAGTTGATCTATAGCAAATATCGCTGGAAAGCTTCACTGGTGTAAAATAATAGTCAATATTTTGTGTCAAACTTGATTAGCAAGACAAGATGTACCATATTTGATCAGTGCTAAGATAACGTTCTGTCACCTCTCAAGTCAAACTGAAGTGGCCGCAAAAGAATTCAAGAATGAAGGAACATAATATGTGTAGCACAACTCGAAACAAATTTGATTGTAAAGATTCCCTCGAAGAATTCTCTTCAGAATTGAACTTTTGAGTAAAAGTTGACTGGTGTAAAATCACAGTCATTTATTTTGTCAAACCTAAACAGCGCAAAATATTCATATTCTACTTTATTCTATTTTGCGGGGCCAACTTGATATAAAATAACACTGGGAGAGAATCACCTTCAAGTCACATTTAATTGCTGGTAAAATAAGATTATTACTTTTTAGAGTCAAATTTGAAGGGTGGTAATCTCACATTGTGGGAACATTATTGAGTTAGATTTGAGTGGTAATGAAAATTATATTTGAAAAGAAGCTGACCGAGTCACACTAGCGCAACACAAGAATGTATCCTACATATATCTTTTTTTTCTCCTCAATTTGAAGGTCTGGTTTAGGAAAATAAAATGCATTGGACGTACCAGTAGCAATCCACGAGAAAAATGAGTCTCCTCGGCTTGTTTATGGATGCAAGATGAAAAACACCAACATCCAGAACATGTACTTTTTCCAAATCATGTTTTGTGCCTTGGGCACGCTGAAGGCGACTGTCCCGCCGAACAAGAGAGCTTCTTTGCAGAAAGCGCCGGGACCGACGTGACGTGAGTGATATGATAGAATACTTGGCGAGAGAAGAGATGCAGGCCCAGCACACCATGTGAGACTTCACTAGACTCCTCCTTGTATGCTGATGTTACTCGGAGGATGAGTGCATGAAAGAAAATGTTGAAGAAAACCTCCATGAATCAATTTCTCAAAATTCCCAATTGGTAACATAGCTCAAGTACTTTGGTGCAAGTCACAAATCATCTTCCCCAATTGAAATGAATGGAAATGCCATTCATCCTTTCCAGCCTCCCAAAAACCAAACATAGAACTCTATAGCTAAATTTTGCACTTTATGAAAGCATACAGTCATGATATAATTCAATGGAATGTAAATCAAAATAATTTATTATTAGGGTTTTTGTTTTTTTTGTTTTTTTACACATTTTTGCTTCAATGGACGTGGGTGTACATGCACATGCCAACTGGGGGCAGTACAATACAGACAACCAGACACACAGGAAAATTTTTCACAATTGAAACGTGAAGCGGCTGTGATATTGGTCATTCTTCACAATGGATAAAGGATGTATGCTTGTGAGTATTGTTATATCGTCTCTCGACATGTGTTGCTCCACTGTGTGTTCTATATCCATTGCTGAAAGGGTTATAACACAGTAACACTGACACTATTTGTTACCTGGTGTGTGGTGTTCGCATTAAGATCGCAAATTTACCCATTAGGTGGTTCTTTCAAATACAACATGTGCAATTCTCTTTTTTTATGTTTAGTTTGACAGTAAACTTCAAGTAAGTGGCAGGGTTAGGTTAAAACAGCTGGAAGCTTCTTTTTTGAAGGGTTGTTTACAATCGGTCAAACTGCAGTAAGCCACAATAATATCAGGCATCCTTTACAGAGAGTAAAGAATATATGCCTGTGAGTATTGTTATATTAGCTGACGACATGTGTTGCTCCACCATTTGTGTTCAAACACCCATTGCTGAAAGCATGACAGTCTATGTCAGCAACACCAATGCTATTTGTTAACCAGTCGATGGTGTTTCCCATGTGTTGAGCTGGTAAACTTTAAGTTGGTCGTTTTAAATACAAAATGTTTATTCCTCTTTGTTTTATGTTTAGTTTGACAGTAAACCTCTACTGGGAGTGGCATTGAACAGCTTGAAGAATATTTCTCAAAGACCATACAGCACCGGGATCTTAAATTTCTGTTCGTAAGCCAAAGCAAAATAAACAAATAAATAAAACGTAGAGTAAAAAAAAAAATCACTCCTACAATAACACTTGTTTCCATCAAGGGCCACATTGTAGTTATGTTTGCCTTCTTTTTGCAAAAGCACAACATCAATCATTAAAATTTAGAAGTAGGATACGAAGTATCAAATTGGTGTTTGTGCTGGAGAAAATTATCAAGGCACGGCAATATATTGTCAGCATGTGACATTTGCAGGAAAACTTATGATTGATGTGAAACAATAGATACGGTTGCGCTTGGATTGTTTGACCTCGAAATCCATTCTAATTAAAAATGCTTATGTAAAAAAATGCTTAGTCTGAGGGGAAAAAAATTGATTGATCAGTCTTTTCCAGAAAAGCTTTGAAACTGTATTGTACCACATGTTTGGCTAACGCGTGGAAACAATCCAAGCATGTAAACAAAGGGGATGTGTGCTTTGCCCCCTCTCACTGTTAAGATCAGGTCACTTTGTGCCACATTTGGAAAATGACCTGACACAGGAAACCAATTTTAACATTGACAGCTTTATTTCTTTTTATATGCCAATTATGAAATTAACAGCAGCTCGTAATGTTGGTCAATAGTGTGGAAAATTCAATGGAGAAAATCCTCTTAGTCTCACCCCAGAAAACAAAAGGCGAGCAAATTTGATAGTTGCAGCCATAGTAAGTGTGTCAATTTAGTGTCCTTTGGATTTATAACAACAAGGCGGTTCAACAATGGTGGCGCCGTCAGGGCTGAAACATTCAGTCGCTGTTTCTCCTCATGCAATTGCTTCTGGGGACTGGTTCTGATATTTTTCCAAAACTGTATTTAGACTACATGAACAGTCCTCAAATACTTCACTTATAGCTCCAGGTCAACAGAGAACAATGATATCATTTAAAAATCAAGCACACGGTCAGCTGTTCATTAGCTCACTAACTTCAAGTATAAACAAATAATAAAAGGAAGTGGAGCATTTACGATGTTTTTAGATGGCTGTAACCAAAGGAAATTGCACATAAGGCAGAGGTTTATCATACAGTATGTCTTTGATATTTTACAGAAGAGCAAGGCCCTGTCATTCTCCATTTGGACAGATATAAGCCGACTCTTTAGGGCACCGCAGACTCATCATTTGACACAAAAAAATAAGAGTAGAATCTATCTTCATATACACTCTAATGGCATCAAAATTAGGTGGACTTCCAAAAGAACAGGTGTATCAACCATCAATTAATGTAAAATATGTTTTTAAGCGGGGTGTTTATAATTTTCCAAATTAAAAAAAAAGATATTTTTCTATATTATTGATTAAATTATTAATTATTGGGTTTTATTACATTTTTGATTGAGTTAAGTGCTTTTTTTTTTTTTTTTTACATTTTCAGGCATTATTGCATTTTCAAGAAATTATTTTAGTGGCGCCACAAGGCGACATGATTTGAAAGACTTTTCTCCACTCATCGATGTGCGTCTTTAAACATCTGAACATCCATCCATCCATTTTCCGACATGCTTTATCCTTATAATGGTCGCGGGGGTGCTGGAGCCTATCCCAGCTGTCTTCGGGCAGTAGACGGAGCACACCCTGAACCGGTTGCCAGCCAATCGCAGGGCACACTGAGATGAACAACCATCTGCTCTCACACTCACACTTAGGGACAATGTCTAGTGTTCAATCAGCCTGCCATGCATGTTTTGGGAATGTGGGAGGAAACTGGAGTACCCGGAGAAAACCCACGCAGGGAGCACATGCAAACTCCAACACAGGGAGTCCGAAGCCAGGATCAAACCCACGACCTCTGCACTGTGAGGTCGACGGGCTAACTACTGGCCCACCGGGTTGCCCTTTTGTCCACGTACTCCCATTAAAATAAATATACATTTGACGATCATTTCCGTTGCTGATGCTCCTTCACGTCAATTATGATTCAAATAGTTAATCAAGCACTTACTCAACCACTAGTCAACCCACAACCAAGGGGCGAACACCTGGTTTAAATGAACAAGTGTGCAGCGGAAGCTGAAAGTCTATTTGGTGGAGTGGTGAGAGTCATGTTGAGAGAAGAAAGTTCAGCAATAATTGGAGATGAGGAGCCTTGAAAGTAATCAACATCTGTTGTGTGGACTTGATTAGGATTAAGGGCGATTGACATTTAATTAAATAACGTATTTATTTACTTAGTCCTGGGTAACTTCTAAATACTAGGGTCAATTTGATTTTTTTCATTCATCATTTATTTTAAAATAACAATCTATTGATTTTGAAGTCTCGCCAAAAACAGTGTCCATATTGTTTGTTGTTGTCGTGCAATCAAAATAATGATGAATTGCAATGCTGATCAAAATAATCATGATTAACATTTTGGCCTGAATCATGTGCAGACATAGATGAGACTGGACACAAAACAGAGGTGGTGACAATAAGCTTTTTTTTTTTTCCACCATCAACTGCAATACCGCTTCCAGAAAAAAAAAGGCTTTTTTTTTGAAAGTGCAGGGCTCTCAGTAATACAAATACGATCATTGTAATCGTGCAATCGTTCAATCATTTGATTTTCTTTGCTTCTACTGTGTGTCGGTCATTAAAATGTCTGTGATAAAACATTGCTCATCTATCCCCCTTATTGATGGACATTCAAACATAAATTCAGTAATAAGCATAACCACATTCAATTACTTTTAGTGGATTTATTTCATACCAAATTAAAAAAAAAAAAAAAAGCTTTCCTTCAAAATGTAGGGTGCGCACATTCCGACTGTCTAACGACACATCCGCTACCAAAGGTATTTTCATATTTAAAGTGTGCACTATTTTTCTCATGAATTTCAATGACATTCACAAATGTCAGGAAAAGTCCATGTACCATGATTTACAGCCAGCCTCAGAATTCAATCAATGATGCCTCTTTGCCGCTTTACACACTCATTCCCAGTTTATAGGCGGCGGGGGTGTCAGAAGTCCAGAAAGGGGGAGTACACGTAGACAAAAAGTGAGCAAACCCAGGCGCGTTAAAAAAAAATAAAAAAATACGGGTGGACGCAACCAAATACAGCCCAAAGTGCGCAATCATGACATAACACCTTCAGTCAAGGGTTATGATGAGATTATCCAAAACGTGAATAAATCATCACATAAGAAACTTAAGAGTAAGGTTGATACTTAATAAAATTTGAATGGATGTTCAAGCCTAAAAAAAACACAGGAACCTCTTTTTGAAGGAGCTCATTTGGCAGTCATTTAATGTCGTCACAGATATTTTGTTGATATTTATCTCAGTTTCAAATTTGTCCCGCTCAGTCCCACTCTTCCTCATCTCTAAAAGGATGGTCCTCTCGTGGCGGCTCTTGAAACCTGATGTTTGCCAGCATGTCCCTCATTGCCACCATGAGGCGATTCACTTCCTGGTTTAGCTCTTGTCCGGCTCGAGCCACCTCCATGTCACCACCCTCCTCCTGCCTTGGTCCACCCTTGACAAGCAAAGTTGAAGATATCGGTCAAACAATCTGACATTTCTGAGACTATCGGCTAATAATTACCGCAATGAGAAACAAATCAGAATAAATTTTAGATGACTGTCTAGATTACAAGCTTCAGGCCCTTCTAATTATAATATGAAGCATACACAGCTGATTCTGTGAAGGAGTAGCCGATACCTAAAAGGTCAGCACATTGTCAAAAAGAGTGGCCCTTTTAAAAAGGCGTTTAATTCGTTCAGTGGCCATGCTCAAAACTTAAAATACTGGTGTCTCAAATCACTTTTCCCCATTAAAATGAATGAAAATGCCATAATCCATTACACGCCACCCCAAAAAATTGTAACATGAAGGAAAATAGCACTCTATACTACTTAATTCATAAAACATACTAGAGATGTAACAACTGACAACTAATCCATTGTCAAACAAATCAAACATAATGCTAATCATG